AATGATGCAGCGGCCCAGCCACTCATCAGGCCGGGCACTGAGGATGTCATTGCGGCAGCTCTCCAGGTGCTGCTGCAGGAGCAGGAGGAGGCTGCGGGACAGCAAGTAGCCAAACCCTCCATAGCAATAACGTCCCTCAGTGTCCCCACCGATGAACTCCTCAGGACGACCCAGGTAGAGGTGGGTGTCAATGCTGAGGTGGGCAACCAGGCGGTTGATGCGGTGCGCCTCCGTGTAGGTATCGTCCTGCACCAGGAAGAACCAGTCGAAATCGTTCACGTAGTGGTCCAGAAGGTACCTGACGGTCTGGTACATGTTCCAGATGGGCCGCTCGTCACTGTGCGTCACCACCGTCATGCCATGGGGCACCTTGCGGCCCCGTGTGCCGGTGAAGTACACCAGGCGCTCCAGGCGGTGGGCCAGCGTGCGGTTGACAGCCACCCCCAGTGTGTTCAGCGTGCTCTTGGAGGTCAGCACACCCACAAAGAGCCGCTGCCGCATGCCCAGCTCAGTGCTAATGTACCGGGTCCTGCAAGAAGAAGACAATGTATGGCTCCTAGGGCACTGCACCCCACCCCAGCCTGCACCTCACTGATGTAACCAATGGCACCCACCTCGGTTCTTCGGCAGGAACTGCTCCCAGGCTTCAGCCTTGCACAAAAGATATCACCCCAGTGTCACTAGCTGCCACTACACATGTCTCAGAGGCACTGCAGAACACTTTGCTGAGGTTCCCCATCAATTTGACATCAAAGGAGACTACCTTCCCATAAGCTGGCCAGTCCAGCTCTAAACAGATGCTCTCAAAAGGCTGAGCACAGCTAAAAGCAGAAAACAGGGCTGTACAACCCAGCTCTAGCAGGAACATGATGCACCAGACACCCCAACCATGAGGCTAGCCCCAGCCAGGTCTGAACTGGGAAGCACCTTCCTGCCACCCCTGCCAGTCATACTACTCTAAAGCAGGCAGGCAGAAGAGCCCGTGCTGCCCTCCCTGGGGAAGCCAGGCCCCACACAGGTTGCTGAAGACAGCAAGGGGGCTGGTTGTGTCCCCCTCCCCACCACGGCCCCCAGCTGTTGCACTCACAATGACTTTCAGGTTTAATTCCCCCAGTCTGGCGCAGTAGCAGGAAGCGACCCCCCCCCCACCACGTCCCCCAGCCGCCTCCTGGTACACAGTGGCCCCATTCAGCCCCCTCCATCCGCCCACCACCTCGCCAGGACAAGGAGGCCCTTTCACTGCCTGCTCCCTGTCATCCAGGGGACGCTGGGATGGGGCTGCAGCCGGCTCCGGAGCAGGCTGGCGTTAGCAGCAGTGGGTGGGGACGCGCCACCAGTGGTCCCTCCAGACAGGAGGGGACCGTCGCAGGGTGCCCGGCAGCACGTGCTGCAGCAGGCAACCCTCGCACAGCGGGCACCAGCATGGGCTGGAGGCTCTCCGCTGCGGGCTGGGGTTAAGGTGAAGTCGGGCACACGGCAGGAAAGGAAGCAGCTGGGAAAGGCACTCTCAGTGAGAAAAACCCGTCTGCAGCCCTAGGTGGCTCAAAGGAGGGCAAAGCATACCGCTAAACCTCCTGTAAAGCCCCCCTTGGAAGTCCCCCCGCCCCGCCACGGCAGGTATCTGAAGCTCGCCCGCAGCTACCCCCAGATAAACCCCGGCGAGCGGCGGCCCCAGCCCCCAGTCCGGCCCGGCCCGGCCCCCCCGCACCTGACGGCCTTCTTGGCGGCCCTGCCGGGGCTGGGCGGGCGGTAGGGCACGACGCGGGGCTCCCAGGTGTCAGCGCCCAGCGCGGCGGGCACGGCGTTGGGCCTGCGCGCCGCGTTGCCGTTGGCGGGGCCAGGGGGCGGCGCGGGGCCGCCGTCCGGGTGCGGGCGGGTGGCGGGGCGCGGCGGCGGCCCGCAGGGCTCCTCCACCCAAGTGACGCTGAGCAGGCTGAGGGTGAAGCCCAGCGAGACGCCGATGGCGACGGGCCCGGCGGGCCGCAGCACCGACAACACCAGCGACAGCCGCATGGCCGGGACGGGACCGCGACCGGGGCCGGCTGCCGCTGCCGCTGGCGGCGCCGCCGTCCGACGTGTCACCCGCGGGCCCCGCCCCGCCGCGCGTCACCCGCCCCGACCAATGCCCGCGCTGCGACCGACGCGTCACGGGGCGGGGCGACCAATCGGGGGGGAGCAAGCGTGGGGGCGGGGCCAGGTTGCCGGGAGACCGCGGGGCAGCGGCGGGGCCGGGGGCGGCGCGGCGGGGCTGCCCGCACCCCCCGCACCCCTCATCCCGCACCCCGCGCACCCCTCATCCCGCACCCCCCGCACCCCTCATCCCGCACCCCCCGCACCCCTCATCCCGCACCCCGCGCCCCGCACCGCTCCCCGCACCGCGTACCCCGCACCGCACTCCGCGCCCCGCACCGCACCGCACCGCGCAGTCCGCACCGTCGCCGGCTGTGCCGCCGTGAGCGCCCCCGGAGCTGCGGGGCAGCAGGGCAGCGCCTCAGGCCCACAGAGCGGAAAGCGCATCCGCCGGGGACCGGCACCTGAGAGGGCTTTAGGGCGCATTTCCCCGGCCTTTTGTGCCCGGGACACGAGGACCTCCGCGTGGCCGTGTGTCCTCTCCCCGGGTAGCCCAAACCAAGGCGCTGGTAAATTCATGGTGTGTTTGAAGAGCCACGTTCTCCAAACCGCCGCCCGAGGGTCGTTCCCTCGGTGTGGATGGTGCCTGAGTCGTCGGGGGACCAGTGGGGGCTGAGTGTTTGAGGTCGGAGAGCACAGTGTGGGCTGCGGGCTGCAGGAAGCAGCTGGGCACACCGGGTGCCTGGGGAGAAGGCATACCAGGAGAGAAACGGTGGCTGGAAGACCTTTGGATGCACAGAAGCAAACTATCCCGGGGCAGGAGGCGCCAGGAGATCCCAGCAGCAGGACCCTTTATCATGTGTTTCAAACGGGAGCAAAGGGAGCTCCTCCAGCTGGGGTCGGGTCACCATCCCACTCTGAACTGTCTTGCAGCATAGACGCACCATCGCACCGACCACCAGGAAGAGCCCCTGGGGCAGAGCTGAAAGAACTGTTTCAGGGCAGAGCTTGCAGCACAAACGGAGCTTCCAGCACAAGAATGATCCAACCCAGAAGCTGCAAGGCAAGCAGCTCTACATGGCTGCTCAGTGCCAGGCATTGCTGAATAAGGACAAGAAGGAGGACCTGGCCTTTCCGCCCATTCCCAGCCCATGGCTTCACGTCCAAAGCCTTGCAGCCGTTGGGACTCTAAAGTACCTCTGGATTCACTCTGGGTGGGCAGTCCATTCCACCCTCCCCATGAAACACAGCCCCCTTGCCCCAGGGAGCACCAGCAGCCACAGAGCACTGCGGGGCACTGAGGGCATGTGGGGACCCACTCAGCTCCAGGATCTCTTTCATTTTCTAAAACAAAGCAGCCTGTTTTCATCAGAAAGCAGTTGGCAGCATCCACCCCCCAAAATACAAGACCATCATCTAAGCTCGGCTGCTTTTCATAGGCCTTTTTACTCTTGAATAGACCAAGACAAGCAATAGGCAAAAACAGTCACGTGGATGGCAGATTAATGAAGAACATATAAAAACTAGAATCAGAGAGAAAGCAATGGGATGAGGAGATACCACAAGGAAAAAAAGGTTCAGAGCTAAGAAAGGAACAGAGATGTTCCATGCAGAGAGGTCAAAAAACAGCCATTGATGATAAAAACCCAAAGTATCCTGTTTTCTGTACATAGCAAAATGCATTCGAAATAGAGATATTTGATTTCCTTTATGGGTTGGAATATATAACTTTAGCCACCTTACACAAACCCAGATCATTTTATGTGAGTGATGAGAGGTTTCATTCTGAAATGACCCTGTTGATTTGAACTTATATTCAGATAGAGGTGCAGCTCAGATAAAGTAATGAAGTTTCCAGAGTCTGAGCTCAGGAAACATGCATGGGAAGCTGAGGGCAGAGCACACACCTCCCCAGGGCTTGCTTGGCAGTGACTGAGCCCAGGGCCCCCATGCCTGGCAGCCTTGGAAGATTCTGTAGGGAAGTAGCAGGAAGGCAGCAGTGCCGTTCCTCCAGCAGCCCCTTCTCAGCCCCCTGCCAGCTGCAGCTCCCGCCTTTGTCTCCCCAGTGTTGGCATGGGGCTGAGAAGGGGCTGCCAGAGGGAACAGCAGCTGCTGCCAAGAGTCTTCTCTGTGCCAGGATTTCCCGGGGGTCCCTAGGCACTACAGCCAGGAGGTGCCAGCTCCAGAGAGCTCTGCCCCTGCAGAGCACCATGTCCTCCCACCTGCTTGCCATGGCTGTATCTCCCATCCACTCATGGGGGACAGGGGGGCAGCTGCTCTAGATGCCTCTGACACATACGTTTGCCCCTCCTGAATGCAGGCACTCCAGTCCCCATGGCCCTGGCACAGTGCCTTGCACACTGCACTGCCAGGTCCCACCTGACACAAGATTATCCTGCAGCTCCCACATCCACACCCTGCACCCGTACTGCCCTGTCCCTGCACACTGTGCCGTGGGGCTCGCAGCCCTCGCAGCCGCTGTGTGCCGAGCACGTGGCACACAAAGCCCAGCCCAGGGTGTGCTGCGCCACACTGCACACACAGCCTTGGGCTGAGTCCCCGGCACAGGGCACGGCACAGGGCACGGCACCCTGTGCGCACCCCAGTGTGCACTCCGGTGCGCCCCCCAATGTGCACCCCACTTTACACCCCAATGTGCACCCCAATGCACACCCCAATGCACACCCCAATGTACACCCCACTTTACACCCTAGTGTGCACCCCAATGTACACCCCACTTTACACCCCACTTTACACCCAGTGCCCCCCACTTCACCCCGCCTCAGCCCCGCCCCCTGCAGAGGCCCCGCCCCGTGGCCCCGCCCCGGCGCGCGGTGACGGCGCGGTGACGTCAGCGGAGCTGTCCGCTCAGCACCGCGCGGCGGCCGCTCCGCCACCATGCGCGGGGTCCGCGGCCGGGAGCGCCGGGAGCGCCGGGCGCCGCGGGGCCGCCGCCGCTGCCGCGCCGGGAGCGCAGGTGGGAGCGGGCGGAGCGGCAGGGGGGGGCAGCACGAGGGAATCCGGCAGGCGGGTGACGCGCCGGACCCCTCGGGGGAAGGGCTGGGGCACCTGGTTCCGTTCCTTCCGTCGTCCGGCGGAGCGAGCGCGGAGCCTCGTACGGGCGCGCGGGGCACCCGGCGCAGCGCCCCCGGGACCCCCGCCCCGAACAAAGAGAGGGGCGGAGCGGCCCCGCGCCCCGGCGGCCTTTGCGGCCGTCGCTCGGCAACGCCGCGCCCGGCCCGGGGCCCGGCAGCCCGGCTGGGGCAGCGGGGCCCGGCCGGGGGGCGGCGATGGGGGCGCCGCGGCGGGGCTCTGCCCCGGGCGCTGCTGCCGGCCCCCGCCGCGCCGTGGCCGGCGGGGAGGGGAGGGGGCTCGGGGCCCGGGGCGGGCGGCAGCAGGTGGGCAAGTCCCGGCGCCAATGAGCAGGCGCTGGGCTCCCCTAGCAACAGTGCCCGCGCCAATGGGCGCCGCGGGCCGCCCGCCCGCTGCCCGCGGCCCTGCCCGGCAGCCCGTGCCGTCCCGTGCCGTCCCGTGCCATCCCCGCTCCGGCCCGCCAGCCCTTCCGCGCCGCATCCCCGCTCCCCTGGGCCGGCGGAGCGCTGCTCTCACTCCACGCACCATCGCTCGTCCCCAGCAGGGCCGGAGCGTCGCTCCTGCGCTCTGCGGGTAAAGTCCAATCCTGCTTAGCGTCTCCCCGGGGGCTCGAGTAGGGGCTCAGCGCTTGGCTGCCCACTCCCTGCCCGCCTGCTTCCTTGGGATTAGGCGCTGTGCTCGGCTTCACCACGGGGACTTGCCGTGGCTGGTGTTGCCTTCCCCAGCCAAAGCGAGGAAGGAGCTTGTCGGCAAGGGTTGGGATGCCAGTGGAGCCCGTCTGGGCAGCAGCAAGATGCTGGGCAACAGGAAGCCATGCCTGCAGCCTTTGCCCTCTTCTCGCCTCCTTCCCAGAGCGCTGTTTTTGTGAGCTGTCCTGAACTGGCCGCATAAACTTGGCACTTGGCAGGAGTGATGCTGGCCTGGGGACAATTTGTGACAATAAACCCATTCTGAACCAACTGAGCCTATAAAGGGACTAGGGGAGTGAAGGGGTGATAGAACTGGCTCCAGGTGGGAGCAGGCAGACGGATGCTGTAATTAGGTTTAAACTGAAGCTGGATCAGTATTTGCAGGGGATTATGACCCCTCCATCTGTGTAGGCACTGCGGGGGGCCCAGTAACTGTTTGCTCAGCATAGCCACAGCATTACAGGTGAGCCCTTGGGTAAGGGGCAGTGTCAGCTGCAGCTGGTGCCCTTCCAGCCCCATGGATTGGCATGGGAGGGCTGGATCTAGTGTGAAGGCCCAATTTGTTTTTACAAGGACAGTGGGAGCTGGAGCAGAGATGAAAAATAGCCAGAAATATGATTAGAGGATTGGAGAAAATGCCTTTGAGTACAAGCTTAAAGAGCTCAATCTGTTTAGCCTATAAAAATAGAAGACTGAGGGGTGACTTAATTACTGAGCATAATTACTTCACAGGCAGAAAATACCAAGTTGTGGAAGTCTTCCGTTAATCGAACAGGGAAAGGGTGCTGGAGAGGCATGGGCAGGAAATTGAAGCCACAGACAAATTATTAAGCGACACAAAGCTCCCAGAGATACAGGCAGACTCTCTGGGGACAGCACATCCCTTCAGCCACATGTTGGGTGACAGTCTGCGCCCCCACTGATGAGGCTGTTCCCCCATTACCTCCCTTCCTACCCACATAGTGGGGGGACAGAGCAGGATTTCTGACAGCCAGGTGCTGAGTGGTGGCATCGCTGCCAGGCATGTGCCACCAGTTCCTCCATTCTCCTTGTCTCTCTCCCATCAGGTGGGGCGAGTGCCAGGACACAGTTCTGCCGGTGGGCTATGAGGCAGGAGTGGAGATTTTGATGCCTCTCCCAGGAGTCCCCAGAGCCATGACTGCAACTGTGCAGACGCTGCGGTTCAAGCTGCTGCCGCACGAGCCAGGCCAGGAGTGGGGGCACAGCTGCCAGCAGGAAATTGAGCGTCGCTACCAGGTGGTGCCCTCAGTGGTGTGCGCCATGTGCTGCCTTTTTGGCATCATCTACTGCTTTTTTGGTGAGCCAGGCCAGCCCAGCTGCTGGTGGGGCAAGTGGGGAGGAGGGCAGAGGGGAGTTAGGGGGTGCTGGCCATCCACTCCCTAACTCTGGTGGTCTCTCCACAGGCTACCGCTGCTTCAAGGCTGTCATGTTTCTGACGGGTCTGATGTTCGGCTCTATCATCATCTTCATGCTCTGCTACAAGGAGCGGGTGCTGGACACACAGCTGAGCGTGGAGGCCTCAGTGGGCATTGGGTTGGGCATTGGAGTTTTGTGTGGGCTGGTCACCATGCTGGTGCGCAGTGTTGGCCTCTTCATGGTGGGGCTGCTCCTGGGGCTGCTGCTGGCGGTGGCCACGCTGGTGGTGATGGAGCAATTCTACCACCCACCAACGGTGTGGATCCCCATCGCACTGCTCTTGGGTGTGGGGATGCTCTTTGCTGTCCTTACACTGCAGTGGCAGCGCTTCTTCACCACCCTCTCCACCGCCGTCTTCGGCAGCGCCATCATGACCGTCACTGTCGACTACTTCATCGAGCTCTTCCTCCTGGTGCAGTACATCTATGAGCGCATCAAGGTGGCCCCTGCTCGCCCCGTGTGCTGGTACAGCTGGGTCATCCTGGGCATATGGCCGCTCCTCACCACACTGGGTGTCCTGGTCCAGTGGAAGGTCACAGCTGAGGGCTACTCCCATACAGAAGGTGTGTGAAAGTGGGGCAGATGGGCATGGCACAGGGTGAGTGTAGGAACTGGGAACTGGGGCTTGGGGTGGATGTTTCCAGCATGTGGTTCACAAGGATAGATATGGGGTTCAGGACACTGTAGCAGCACACCACCCAAGGGAGACCTGGTTGCACAAAGCTGGTGCTGGTTTGGCTGCGGGGATCGTTTGGATATGCTCTCCAGTGCTCACACGCTGCTTTGCTCCACAGTGATCATCAGCCGGCAGCAGCGTCGCGTGCAACTGATGCGCATCAAGCAGCGGGAAGACCGAAAGGAGAAGAAGAAGAAGCGGAGACCCCACCACCCACCACCCCACCAGCACAAAGCCCACCCCCCCGAGCCTGCTTACCGCCGCAAGCCCAACCCTGTGCGCCGCTTTGATGGGGACGTGCTCTCCCCCGTGAGTCCCGCAGCCAGGGTAGAGATCTCCCCCAGTCTCCAGAGTCATTCCTTCCCTATATCGGTGGGCTGGGGCATAGAGAGGTGCCCAGGCACTGGCTAACATCTGAGCTCCTTGAGGGATGAAACTGGGGTGTCCCAGGGACTGAGCAACTCAAGTTGGAATGGGTCATTCCTACCATGGAGCGCTTCAGCCTTTGCAAGCAAATGAAAATTGCTGGCCAAGAGCACTGTTGGCATAGCAGTAATAAGCAATCGGCAAGGTGCAAAATGCCCAGGGGAGGGATCAGGCTGTGCTCCCTGCTGTGGCCAGTTACTGGAGGGCCTAAGTGCTGGGGATTTCACTGGGCTGTTTTTGGAGAGGGCAGGGAGGGGCTACAGCAGCATTTAGGGTGGGGTGGAGTGGTCCAGGAGCAAAGCCCCCCTCACTTTCTGTTCCTCTCTCACAGAGCTACATCCAGAGTTTCCGAGAGCGGCAGACAGGACCATCGCTGAACAGCCTCATCGCCAGCTCCCATGCCGTGGTGGACCTGGACTATGACTGCAGCTCCACCGTGCCCCTCACCTCGGGCTCTGGCCCTGCTGTGAGGGTATAAGCCAACCCAGTGACCTCAAGCAACACCAGCACCCCAGCCTGCTCTGACAGAACCCCTGAGACAGGCAGGGCTTTGTCCTCGGCACCAAGTGGCCACTTGTGGCTTAGGGCTGCAGATGGAAACCTTTCTTGGAGACACATGGGACTTGTCTGGGGAAGCCCCAGCTGCCAGTGGGGCACAAAGGTGCTGGGGAAGCCCTTTGGCAGGGACTCAGCCCAAGGACCAGAACCCATGGACGTGCAGTGCAAGTGGCTCTGCTGGGGTGGTGGGTCCCTGAGCCCCCACCTCTGTGCATTACCCTGTGGCCCGGGCACGCTCATCCTGCATCTTAACGTTTCCCCATATTTGAGCCCCCCCTTCCCAGGAGCAGTTCCCCACCCCATTGCACCCCAGCAACTCCCCAAGTGCCTGTCCCCTATGTTCCTTCCTCAAAGAGCAGGTCCCATGGCCCTTTTCCCAGCAGGGAATCCCCCAAGCATGTGAGCCCTGTCCCACCCTGTCCCCAAGAGCAGCTCCCAGGCAGTGCTTCCTAAAACCTGCCTCCTTAGAAGATCCTCCTGCCCTAGCCACCTTCCCTACACCCCAGAGCGGCTTGCCACTCCTTTTTCCCAAGCTGGAACGGGGTGGTCCTGGGGCAGAGACTGCCACGGCCAGGTGGTTCCCAAGGTGATGCTGGCAATTGGTGCCTGTCCAGCAGGAGCTGCGCTGGCAGGGTGCATCCCCCACAAAATGTTTTGATGGGAGACAGGACATTGGCTCCAGCCGTTGGGCAAAGGCTGGGCTGCCTCAGGGATGCGGGGACCCCTGCAGCATCAGAGACCGTCGCTGTTTTGCTGGCGACTGGATTTTTATAGTGGCCAGGGGACCCTGGGGCAGGGCAGGGCAGGAGCCCCTGCCCAGAGCACTGCTGCGGGCAGAGGCTCACGCCTTGTATATATTTCTCTTGCTGTGATTTGTATTAACTTATTACGGAGTGAGCCAGAATTCCCCATGGCCAGGCAGGCAGGATGGTGGTGAGACTGGACCGGGGAGCCCTCTGCTTTGGGAGCACCCCCAGCCCAGCCCAGCTGGCCCCGCTGCCCCAGGAACTGCATGTTTCTGCCAGGCACCCCGTTCCCGCAGCGTTGTGCTGCCATCCCCCTTTTCAGTCTCTTTTGTAAATGTGCCAAACGCTGTTGAGGCCTCGGCCACACAGTAAAGAGCCTTTCGGAGTCTGGCGTGCAAAGCCAAGGACTGTAGGGGGGGCAGGGGTGAGAGGGGCCCAGAGGGCTGGGCTTCCAGGGATGCTGAGCGGGATGTAGAGTGGCGCCACCACCTTTTCTCTTAACGGGACCCCAGCTCGTTGGTGTGGAGGAGGCCATGTCAGAAAAAAAGGCTGTTTAATGCAGAGCCCCGAGGCTGGAGCAGGCTGGAGATGGTGTCCATGTGTCTGTCCATGCCAGGGGGAACATGACCCCATCTCTCAGCAGTAGCATCCATCAGTCTGTATGCAGGCCCTGAGAACTGTGTCCTGGCTTCTAGCTCCCTGTGGGAACAACGGGAGTCAGAGTGAGCTGGGGCGTTGCCAGAGCAGCTGGGCCACCCAAAAGACATATCCCAGACGAGGAGCAGACCCCTGACCAGCCTGCTCCCTCCAGGCCAGCGCTCAGACTCTTGCAAGCAATGGGGGACAGGGACACGGGTTCTGGTGTCCCTTTACTGCAAGGCAAAGCAGCACTGGCAGTTGCTAATGGTGCCCCTCTAGTGCCCACTCACCCTCCACAAGGAGCCGGGCAGTGGAGCGGTCATCAAAGGCGTCACAGGTGTACGAGTCCTCGTCCTCGGGGCCCACGCGGTGAATGATGAGTGTGCGGTAGCAGTCCAGATTGCAGATCTCATACTTGTCACCGGCAAAGATCTCGGTGTCCCCACGGAGCCAGCGCACCCGGCCCCGGGCGTGGGACACGGTGCACTCCAGTGTCGCCTTGTGCCTTGCAAGCACTGTCTTGTCCCGCAGTGGCTTCACAATCCGGATTGGCAGTGCTGGTAGGTGGGGGCAAGGCATCAGCACCGTGGGGTGAGCAGGCTTCCATGGGGACACGGCAAGCTGACCTGGTACACCCCAGCCCCGGTGCTGGAGCCCAGCCAGACCTTGCGGCCCGCACTGCTACCTTCCACCTGCAGACTGGCCTCCGAGGTGACTGTCCTGGCTGTGAAGCGGATGAATCCCTTGTCCTCAGGGCGCACACCACAGAACAGCAGGAAATGCCGGGTCCCTGGGGAGGGAGAGGCTGGCTCAAGGCGACGGCAATGCACACCCATAGTAAGCCGGGGGGCAGGGACCCCTCTTTGTGTACACAAACTCCCCTTGCTTGAATTTGCCCTATCCCAGCCCCAAACCAGGTGTGGAGCCACCTGCATCCCCACCTTCTTGCCGTATCTTCACTGTGCTGGAGACCTTGATTTTCTCCCCGTCCCGAAACCACTCGCCCTTCACATCCCCATGTGACACCTCGCAGGTGAAGACTGCATTGTCACCCTCCTGCACCTGGACGTCCTGCAGCTCCTGCACGATGTGGACCTGGCGCTCTGCAGGTAACAGACAGGGTGTCAGGGCAGCCAAGTGTAGGGTTTGGGGGTGTACACGCGGCTGGGAGCTGGGTGACCGTACCCTGGACGTGCAGCATGGCAGAGGCCTGGCAGTCACCTGCATCGCAGGTGTAGCTGCCGGTGTCGGTCAGCTCGCAGCGGCTCAGCTGCAGGATGCGGCGCCGTCCCGCCGAGTAGATGCGGCAGTTGGGCCCTGGCCGCAGCTCCTGCCCGTCCTGCACGGAAGCAAACGGGCAGCACCCCACTGCTTTGGCCCCTCTGCATTGTCTGCAGCCCAGGCAGAGAGGGCAGCAACCAGGGTACAAAACGAGGAGGAGGACATGGCCAGGTGCTGCTGGAGGGGGTTAGGGTGAACCCTCACCTTGAACCATTTCACCTCTGCATTGGGGCGAGACAGCTCACACTCAAAGCTGGCGACCCCTGTCTCTGGGACTCCCAGGTCTCGTGGGACCCTCACCATGGTGACTGGAGGCTCTGAGGAGGCAGGTCACAGATCAGAAAGGCTTAATAGGACAAAGGCATGGACTTGGTGCTGCAGGGAAGAGTAGCTATGGCTGCGTCATTTCAGCATGGGGTGAGAGTGGCACCACCCATGGGCAAGCACTCATCAGTAGTGTTCCAGCTGGCTCTGTACCCAGCTGGGTGTCCCCACTGCTCAGCTCACATCTCTTCCCTGAGGACAGGGGGACACTTGCCAGCACGCTATCACCCCTGTCCAGGACAGGGGAACACATGCCCTGGGTGGCCCAGCTCAGCCTTGGTGTCTCCCAGTACAGAACAGCTTCAGGTCAGATAACACCGGTGCCACGCACCCCCAGCTGCCCCAGGGACCGTACCCCGCACACGCAGGTGGGCACTGCAGCGCAGAGTGTCAGCAGTGAAGGTGATGGTGCCCGAGTCTTCCAGTGCAAGCCTCTCCAGTGTCAGGCTGTGCCCGCAGCCTGTGGCACTGATCCGGCACGTGCTGCTGGGCTTCACCCGGATGCCATCCCGTGTCCAGACCCCGGTCACGCCAGGGTGAGACAGTTCAAGGTGAAAGGTGGCTGTCTCCTTCTCAAAGGTCTCCATGTCTGTCAGTGGTGTCCGAATTGACACCTTCCGGGCTGTGAGGGACCCATGTCTGTGAGTAGGCGTCTGCCCCACCACAGAGCCCCTGGCTTCCCAATCTGTGCTTGCTGGAGTGATCATCTAAATCCAGTTGTTTGTACTGGACTCCCACCCCTGCCCACACACCCACTTCTCTGAGCACCCATTCCAGCCAAGAACTAGTTCTGCCCACATGCTCCCATTACAGCAGTTGGGTGCCCTCCTTGTTGCCATCCCCAGCCCCATTGCCTTCCATCCCCATCCCCAGCCTGGTACTCACGCTCCACGTGAAGCTTGGCCTGCGTGCGGTCGTGCAGGCTCTCGCAGCGGTAGGTGCCGCGGTCGGCAGGGCCAAGGCAGCAGATGGTGAGGGTGCGCCGGCACCCCGACTCCTGCAGCAGGTACTTGCTGCCCGGCTGAAGGAGGATGCCCTGCTTCAGCCACTGCACCTCGGCAGCCTTGTGGCTCACCTCCACCTCCAGGCACACGTCCCCCTGCTCCTCTGCCACCACATCCTGCAGCTTCCGCACAAACAGCACCTCTGCCTCTGCATGGCCCGTGTGCTGGGTCAGCAGCCAGCCCCAGGACTGTGCCTTGGGCTGAGCCCCAGCTTTCTCCTTCCCCCTCACCTTGTACATTCAGCCGAGCTGTGCTCACCAGCCCCTCGGCATTGGCTGTCACAGTGCCTGCATCACCTGTCTGGCACTGCCGGAGGGTGAGGCTGTGGCTCTGCCCACGCCTTGACACCAGCAGGCGCTCACCGGGGACCACGGGCTGGCCATTCAGCTGCCACGTCACAGCCACATCTTCGGGGGATACCAGGCACTTGAAGGTGGCATCCTCCCCCTCTAGCACTGTCAGGCTTTGCAGCTCCATGATGATCTCCACCACCCTGGGGACTACAGCCAGGTTGTCAGGGCACAGCAAAAGGGACCCCCTGTCAGGTAGAGATGCTGAGCATCCCTACAATCCTGACATCACTGTGCCAGCAGCCCCACCACCCCCATGGAACAGGATTCCCCCAGGTGGTGGGGAAGCCTCGGGCTCACCCTGCACCGTCAGCGTCGCCAGGGTCTGGTCGTCGTTGGTCTCGCAGCAGTACTCGCCGGCGTCCCCGGGCTCCACGCGGCTCAGCACCAGCGACCGCTCCCGTCCCTCTGCCGTCATCTGCCGGCGGGGGCCCGGCGCCAGCACCCGCCCGTCCTTCCGCCACACCACATCGCCCCGCGCCTTACAAAGCTCGCACCACAGCATCACCCGCTCGCCCTGCCGCGCTCGCACGTCCGACAGCCCACGCAGGAACTTCACCCGCAGCTCTGCACAGGCAACCCCCCCCCCCATATCAGCACCCGCTGCCACTGCAGGGGGATCCCCGGGCACCCCCACTGCCCCCCTGCCGCCCACCTCGGACGTTCACGTCGAACTGCATCTGGTCGTGGGGCGAGAGGCAGGTGTAGGTGCCGGCGTCCTCCATGGCCACATTGTGGATGATGAGGCTGTGAACGCGGCCGTCCCGACGCAGCTCGCAGCGCTCGCCGGCCACTGCCGCCTGCTGCGGGCCCAGCCAGGTGACATCGGATCGCTCCGTGGAGGTGATGGCAGAGAGCACGGCACTGCCGCCCTCCAGCACCAGCAGCTTCTCCTGCTCCTCTCGTTTGTTCACGAACAGCACGGGTGCCTCTGCCGGAGGAGCACTGGGCTCAGCTGTGGCCCTGCCAGTGGCACCAGCATGGGATGGGGGTGCCCAGCATCCCGGTGTGAGGCAGGATGAGACTGCTCCTGCCCCTGGCATGGGCGAGGGACACCTCCAGGCTCACCTTTCACGCGTAGTGTGAAATGCACCTCATCATCACCGGCGTCGCAGAGGAAGATGCCACCATCACCTAGCTCCGCTTGCCTGATGGTGAGGCTGCGTGTGGGACCCTCGCTGCACACCAGCAGCCGCCCACCTGAGCACAGCGTCTGCCCATCCTTCTGCCACTGCACTGCTGCTGTCTCCGGGGACAGCCGAGCCACCAGTGTCACACTGTCCCCCTCCTGTACCTCCAGCGGGCTCTGCGCCTCCTCCTTGTTGACAATGCACACAGGCCGGGCTGAGGGACACAGGTGACAAGGCAGGGTTCAGGGATGTCCCTGCAATGTGGGGCAGTGCAAGGATGGGACTGCTTCAAGTGGAGAGGTGATCCCTCAGTGAGTCATCGTGAGGCAGAAGGGCTGTGGGGCTGGCTGGGGGTCAGGGTGGGACTAGACAGGGGTCCCAGAGAGGCAGACATGCAGGATGGAGAGGTCTGGCAGCTCAGGGTTCACTCAGGGAAGGGGCAGCAGCAGAGCCCATCACTCCCACATCACTCCCTGTACAGGCAGCACAGCTGCCATGTTGGCACCATTAATTTCATTGTACTCCCCCATTCAGAACACCTTGCTGAGGAGTCAGGACACCCGCCTGCAACAGGCCCCCTCCCACCCTGCACAGCCCTCCATCTCCGGCTGATAAGGGTCCAGGCTGAGCTCAGCCTTTGGCAGCCGAAGCAGGAGGAGCGGCGCCTGGGAGCCAGCCAAGGCTAAATTTAAACAGCCTCTGGCTGGGGGAGGCAGCAGGGACATGTCTCGCCACGACCCTGACATGTCTCTTTCTGACCAATGGCTCCTGTAGGGTTGGGGACAGGGCTCCCACTCTTCCCTGCCATGCTGCCACCCTGTCCTCTGCATCAGCAGGGTCACAGAGGCTTCCCCTTCCCTTGTGTCTGTGGCCTGATCCCACCATTCTGGGGCTCCTTGGGGTTCTGAGCCAGCTCACCCGACACCTCCACATTTGTCACCATGCGGTCGCTGGCAGCATCACAGATGTAGCAGCCTGCGTCGCTGGGCTGTGCCCCACTGATGGTGAGCTGTCGCAGCACCCCACGGGCCTCCACCTGCACCCGTTCACCTGGATGCACCTCCTGGCCATTCCGGAGCCAGCGCACGATGGCGTCGGGCCGAGAGAGCTCACAAGCCAGCACCAGGTCTTCCCCAGCCACCAGGCAGCGATGTACCGCGGTGCCTGTGCTGCCCACAATGGTCACCGGTGGCTCTGGGACTGGAGAGATGGGCTGTCACCACAAAAGCAGCCTGTGCTGGGTATCACAATGGCCAGATTCTGTCCAGACTCCTCTGGCTGCAGCTGAGCAGCACAGGGCCACCACACAGATGCAACCCACTCCCCATGTGCCCCTCACCAGCCTCCCTGTGCTCACTGGCACCCAGCCCAGCCTCACACCACCCTGGCAGCAGCCACAGACCCACCTCACTTCTGTCCCCCTGGCCATCCCCCACCAGGACCTCCTGCTCACCTTCTACAGTGATGAAGAAGACGATACTGTCATCACCAGTGTCACAGAGATACTCCCCAGCATCCTTGCCCGTAGTGCCCAGGATCACAAGGGATCTGCGCACCCCGTCCTCCTCCAGCCTCACACGCCCCGTGTCCTGCAGCTTCTCCCCGTCCTTGTACCACTTCACTTCCCCATGGCTGTGCGAGAGGTGCACCTCCAGCACCAGGTCCTCCATGGCCTGGCAACACCGGTGGGTCAGCAGGACATCCTTCTCCAGGATCCTGACCAGCGAATCTGCAGCATCCAGCACCAACAGAGCTGAGGTCTCTGGGGTTTGTGCACCCAGTGCCCCACACCAGGCCCTTCCCTACCCTCATGCTCACCCAACACTTGGATGGTGAATGTCACTGTGTCATTGGCGGTGTCACAGGTGTATTTTCCAGAGTGCTCAGCTTGGGCAGCAGGGATGAGCAGCCGGCGATAGACACCCTCTTCCTCCAGGACCAGGCTGCCCCCAGCCTCGAGCCTGACACCCTCCTTTGCCCAGAACACAGGTGTATCCGCACGGGACAACTCACAGCAAAGTGTCACCGTCTCCCCCGGGGACACCGTCATGACAGGGACAGGTCTGCAGGGCTGCAGGATCCTCACCGGAGGCTCTGCAGGTATGGCACATCTGTGATACAAAGCAGCGCAGGGACAACGCAGCCCTGGGCACTCCTCTGCTGCCAGCCCCAGGTAAGCTCCTGTGCAGGGTGGCCCAGTGGATGGGCATCCACTGGTGGCCAGAAGCACATCAGCACCCCCACTGACCTGACACCTTGACATCGAAGGAGACGGCCTCATCCTTGGTCTCACAGATGTACTCGCCTGCATCCTCTGCACTGCTCTTGGGGATGAAGAGGCAGCGCCAGGCCCCCTCGACCAGCAGCAGCAGGTTATCGGTCTCGTCCACCTCCAGCCCATCCTTGAACCAGTGCACGGGAGCATCCGGCGCAGAGAGCTCGCACCGCAGTTCCACACACCCTGGTGCCTGAACCAGCAGCTCCAGAGAGCGCTGTGGAGGCTGCAGGATCCTCACTGGTGGCTCTGTTGGGGATGTAGAGGAAGGATGTGAGACCTGCTCACTGCTTTGCTCCTGGCTCTGCTGTGTCTATTTACTGTTGCCTGTGTCCCTGTCCCCATGGGGCTGTAGGGAAGCTACATCCTCTCACCCTAGTACAAAGAGGTCAGAACTGCTCAGGGGCAGGGGCAGTGGGCACAGAGGGCATGCCCTCCTCCACAATGCTGAGGGCGGGGAGCAGGGCTGGGAACCCCAGAGCACAGAGTTGGGGCAGTGCTGCCCTTTTCAGGATGTTCCTGCTGTGCCACCAACCTGCCACAAAGATGGAGTAGGAGACAGATGCATTGCTGGCACTGCAGACGAACTCCCCTGTGTCTTGCATCCGGGCACAGGGCAGCACCAGGCGGTACTGCAGCCCTTCCTGCTCCAGCACCAGGCTCTCGCCCACCTCCACTTCTTCACTGTCCTTGTACCAGCGCACTGGGGACACGGGGCGGGACAGCTGGCACCACAGCTCCACGCGCTGCCCGACCACGTAGGAGTGAGAGGCCTCCTTGTTGGAACTGACAATCCTCACTGGTGCCTCTGCTGGGGACATGGCAGGGCTCAGGTGTGGTGCTGGGTGAGTCCCATGTGAGGACAGGAATCCCCTGGGCAGCTCCCTGCTCGCAGTCACCCTGAAGCTGGCAGCATCATCCCTGGCATGGCATGTGTACACCCCTGAGTCAGACAGTGCAGCTGCAGCAGTGTGAAGCCCCTGGGAGCATCCCTCTGAGCAGATGGCCAGGACCTGTGCTGGGACCATGGCCTCGCTGTCCTTCAGCCAGTGGACAGGGGCATGTGCAGGGGACGCCTGGCACTCCAACACCAAGGGCAGCCCTGCTGGCAACTCCTGGAGCTGCTCTGCCTCCAGCACTGTGGTGAGGCAGACCTTCAGGGCTGAGAGGACCAAGACCTTGTGTCATTTGGTCTCCCATCCCACCTGCCCTGGCAGCAGTGGCCACGGATATCTCAGCCCTGCAGTGGTGCTAGCTGCAAGATGAGGGAACAGCAGGGCTGGGGGGTGAGGTGGCATCACCCAAAGGCAGGCAAGCTGGTTGTGCTCTGGAGTGTAGGGGGGCAGTGTGATACAGAGCTCTGGGAGGAGACAGACCAGCTTGTATGCTCCTGACCACATCCCCTTCCAACCCAGGGGCATGGGCAAGGAACTGCTCTCAAGGAGGCGAGAGGTAGCTGAGGTGCTGAAGCCACAGTGGGAGCAAGGAGCTGGGGAAGAGGGAAGAGGGGGAGTGGGATGTAGGTGTCTGTTGTACCCACCTGCTACGGTGACTGTGTAGAAGACAGAGTCCCCACCAGCGTCGCAGACAAATTCCCCTGTGTCCTGTGGCCGGGCACAGGGCAGCACCAGCCGGCACTGCAGCCCCTCCTGCTCCAGCATCAGGCTCTCACCTGCCTCCACCTCCTCCCCGTCCTTGTACCAGTGCACTGGGGCTGCCGGGCGGGACAGCTGGCACCACAGCTCCACACGCTGTCCGGCCACATAGGTGTGGGAGGCCCCCTCGTTGGAGCTGACAATCCTCACCGGCTCCTCTGTCACGGAGAAACATGGGGCTCAGCCAGGACATAAAGACCAGAGCCAGTGATTATGGCCATCACAGCCCTGTGCAAGTGATGGCTTCACCACTTGTTGGCTTTAAAGCTGGAAGGCACCACGTCATCCACATTCTACATAGCTCAAACTTCTGGACCATTGTGCCTGGGTCTCCCTCTTCTTCTCACACATTACAACCAGGAGGAGCACCAGGCTTTGAACTGGCTGTAAATTGCTGCCATGCCCTTGCTCCCGTGGTACCTGCCCTGCTTTGCCCTGTGGTGGAGCTGAAGGTTGTGGAGGGAGGATGCATATAGGCAAGCTCCAGCACTGATAACCACTGTCTGTGGTGCCAGCACCAGCCCCTGCAGCTGCTTTCCCAGGGTGTGCCCTCCCCTCTGCCTGTCTCTCCATTTCAGAGGCCACCAGGTGCCAGCCAGCACTTTTGTCATGGCTCAGCCGTGGCATTTGCTTATACTGTGGCACAGGCATGTGGTTTGCTTGCAGCTTACCGGGACCCAGCACTCAATTCTGGATTGCAGTCATCACTAAAATCACCATTAATTTGCTACATAAAATGTGTGCCACTGCTCACACTACCCCTCTGAATTGAGTCAGAACTTTAAAGACAGAAGGTCTCCCAGCACAAATTTTCGGTGATCAGCCCTCCTCTTTCTTGGGAGAAGTTCAGAGTGCCACCTACAGCCAGCACTGCCTGCCTGGCCGTGCACATTGCACCAGCCGTAGCTGGCCTGGACTCCGCCGTGGTACTCATCGAGCCCGTGCGGGCACAAGGCACAGCCAGCTCTGGGGCACAGTGGTGGGCGAGCAGCAGCCTGCCCTTCTCACAGCCCGCAGCTGCTCCATGCGGTGTGTCCGGGTGGAAGCTTCCCAGCCAGCTCCCGGCTGCGCTGCCCAGGCCCAGCAGCGCACCGCTGCCCCGCAGCGTGCGGAGCGGTGCGGCGCCGCTTTGCAGCGATTAACCTGCCGCACGCTGAGCCTGCATCCGCCCAGCTCCCTGATCAAACGACTGGCAGCTGCCTCCCTCCCTGGACCTGCTAAAAGCAATCACATTGCTGAGGTGCAGCTGGAGATGCTGAGCAGCAGTGAAGTGAGGGGATAACGTGCCAGCCCTCAGCAGGCAGCATCGCTCTGGCCTCAGCCTCTCACTAGTTCTGAGGGAGCTCCAGTGCTCAACAGCTGATGGAAAACCCAGCGGCTGCTGGGATGGCCGAGCTTGAGGCAGGCAGGCTACATGCCACAACAGCCCTATGGGGGATAGCTGAGATGCCTCAGGGAAACCCAAGCATGCCACACAGTGCTTGACTGCAGCAGCCAGCCTGGCACTTGTGCCAGAGAGGTGTCAGCCTGAGCCTCCAGACACCCACCCCCAGCCCTGCTGGTGACATTGATGTCCAAATCCAGATTGAACCAAGATAGCCTCCCTAAGACCCTTCTGTCAAAGTGATGCAAAGCTGCTCAGCCAAAAGTCTGAGCCTCAGCAGATGGTGTTCCCTCTCCCCGTCTAGGGAAGCAGAGCTCTCCATGCCCCTCACTCCCACATAGCACACGACCTCCTGCCTCTTCCCAAAACCCATGCTGCCTGTCCTTCCCACTGACAATTTTGCCTTTATCTCACTAAACCCCCCTCCCTTCCTCACCCTTCCAGCAGCCACCACTCCACTGACTCTTCAGCATCTCTTATCACTCATCCTACCTTCACTCCTACATCCTTGGCCATCAACTTTGGCCCTTTGCCATGTGTTAACATCACAGTGAGGCTTTACCATTGTGGTCACATCAACTTTCAACTGGGTTTTAGCTCTGCCCCTGGTTGCCTTCCCGTGGTTGTGGGATGTGGATTCTGGGGCCAGCAAGGGGAAGCCTTTCACTTGCTTTCAGTTTTCATTATCCTCTGCCAGCCAGTGATGCCAGCAACCGCTTCACAGCTGGGGCAGCCGCCACAGGATGCTGAGCCCTGCTCCCATCCAGCAAACACCACCCAGCCATCGGTCTCCAGGCAACTGTTAATTTTCAGGTCAGCAATTAACACTGTCCATCAGAGCAATGACCAACCATGAGTCATCCTATGCCAGGTGCTGGGCCCACTATTTTTAGGACCTTGGAGGAGGGCTTGGTTACTAGCCATGGCAGAAGTCTGGCAAACACCCTGGTGTGCAGGTGCTGGGTGCTCTTGTGTGCTCTAGTGTTTCAAACAGGCTGAGCGAGCTGCTCCCTCTGGCAGTTGGTCTGAGTCCCACAAGGACCCCAACTGAGCAGCCTACCAAACTGCTGGTGAGCACCGAGCAAAAGCATGTCTGACAAATATCCCATCACAGCAAGTGACAGCAATACTGACACCAGCACATGCATTGTGGCATCCTGCACTGGCAAAGAAAGCCCCCCGAGACCCTACCAGCCCTCCTGCATCACACGCACCTGCCACAGTGATGGTGTAGAAGGCAGAGTCCCCACCAGCATCGCAGACGAACTCTCCTGTGTCCTGTGTCTGAGCGCAGGGCAGCACCAGCTTGCACTGTGGCCCCTCCTGCTCCAGCAGCAGGCTCTCACCCACCTCCACCTCCTCTCCATCCTTGTACCAGTGCACTGGGACTGCTGGGCGGGACAGCTGGCACCACAGCTCCACACGCTGTCCGACCACGTAGGCGTGGGGGACTTCCTCATTGGAGCTGATGATCCTCACCGGCACCTCTGCCAGGGAGAATGTGGGCCTCAACATGACTAGCTGCAGCTTTCAGCTGCATGATGGGGGTAAGAAGCAGGGTGGGAGCACTGTCAGGAGGTAGGGGCCAGGCTGCCACACACATTCCCCAGCTCACCGGTCACGGTCACCACAAAGCTCACGGCATCATCCCCAGCGTCACAGGTGTACACAGCAGAGTCTGAGGGACACGCTGAGCGGAGCAGCAGCCTCCGCACGCAGCCTTCTGCCTGCACCGCGATAACGTCATCCAGGGGCACGGCCTTGCCGTCCTTCAGCCAGCAGACAGGGGCATCCGGGGTGGACACCTGGCACTCTAGCAGCACAGGCATCCCTGCTGGCACGTTTCGGAGCCGTTCAGCCTCAGACACTGGGGCAATGCGGACCTGTGGGGCTGAGAGACATTTAGGAGCGGTGAGAAGCATCCTTCAGCATGACAGCCCCTGCTGCTGGGGTCCTGGTAGGATCCCAGGGTGAGTGCGCTGATCACCTTGCACATGCAGGATAGCTGAGTCCCGCACACCACCGGACACAAAGGTGACCTGGGCCCCACTGTCAACCAGTCGTGCTCCTCGGATCAGCAGCGAGTGCTCCATCCCATGGCGCTGTACACTGCACCGGCCGCCTGCATCCTCCTCCTCACGCAGCCTGGCACCGTTGAGGAACCAGGATCCATGCACTGCAGCTGACAGCTCCAGGGAGAACTGTGCATCCTCACCATCCCTCACCCACGTGTCCTGCAGACCCCTCTCCAGACGAGCTGCTGGGGCTGGAGCACAGTCGGACTGAGCCCCAGTGGCACTGACTACCAGCACACTGCAGCACGACATCCCAGCTTTTGCCTGTCTCCTCACCGAGATGCACAGATCCAGGGAACTCCACAGGGCTGCTCCTGCCGTGCTTGTTGGCGGCAGAGATGCGGAAACAGTAGTCGGCCTCGCGAGGCACGCTGTCACCCAGCACCCGCACGCAGCTGGGCAGGTCGGTGGCAAGGCACTGCACCCACTCCCCTCCCGCTGCCTCCCGACGCTCCAGCAGGTAGTGGCTGGCGGGGCGGAGGTGGGAGTCAGGTGCAGGACACCAAGTCAGCAGAGCTGTGTTAGTCTCCACCACGCTCATCTCAGCTGCTACTGGTGCACTCGGAGGGTCGTGCTTCACACCTGCAAGTTATAGCCCACGTTGACTGCTTGGGGATGGCAGTGAGGTTCTAGGTGGGGTGATAGAAGTGCTAAGTGGGGGTAACAGCCTGTTTCTTTGGGGATTCTCTCTCTGATGGAGAGGATGGTCTTGCTCCCGTGTAGCATGCTGCTGGCTGCAGGGGTTTGTGAATGCCTGTGAGGCTAGGATCCTGGAGTTCTGCTCAAAGCCCCCTTCCCATAAAACACATTGCTGCATCACACCCCCAGCATATTGGCTGCCTATGCCATCCCCTCTTCTGTATCACCCCCCATGAACAGGCAGGAGAGAGGACACAGGACCCCTTCAGGAGCTTACACTTGACTCGGAGCTGGGAGGATGTCTGTGACTCCCCGACAGTGAAGGAGATGATGCCCGCGTCCTGGCGGGTGACGTGCACCAGCACCAGGAGGTGTGTCCTGCTGAAGCTCTTAAGCACGGTGCGGGGTGACTCCCGCAGCTGTAGCCCATCCCGGCTCCAGCAGCTGCCCTCTACCACATCCCGTGTCTCCACACAGAAAACTGCATTCTCCCCCTCCATCACATCCAGCTTCCGTGGCAGCCGCTTCACAATCACCCCTATGGGAAGAGATATATGAGGGCCAGGGAGGAATTCTGGGGACTGGGATGGGCTCTTTGAGGTGGGAGAGGAGGAGGGGGAGGTTGAGGAGGGGCAGCAGCAGGCACCAGCCAAGTGGAGGGAAGGCAAATGCACGGAGCAGTGAGGACCCTGGCAAGGAGGGGAATAGGAAGGCAAAGCTGTGCCGCTGGAGACATGACGCACCTCGGACAGAGACCTCGGCAATGCTGCGTCCTTTGTCCTTCATCTGGCAGAGGTAGATGCCATCGTCATCGATGCGGGCATCGCGGATGGTCAGGCGCCGCACCACCCCTTGCTCCTCCATCACGTACTTGTGGCTGGGCTGCAGCTCTCTGTCCTCCAGGTACCAGGAGGTGGGGATCGTCTCCAGTGGCACCTGGCACTCCAACACTGCATCCTCCCGCTCTGCTACCTCCACGTCTGCCAGCTGTACCTGGAACCGCAGCCGGTGCTCTGCCACAGGAAGAGACAGGAGCTTAGGGCACGTGGGGTACAGCATCCACTGTCAGCCCTTTGCTCAAGGTGATCCCAGCTCACAAAGAGCAGCAAACTCTTGTCCCTCCTTTGCCCTCTCCTTTGGCTTCCATGAGACAGACACTGCCTTGACAAGCACATATCCCAGAGCAGGGAGGACCAGGGCACAGCCTGGGGAGACACAGGGATGCCTCCAGTATCTCAGCAGGAGTTTTGGGGGATGCAGGGGCATGGAAGCCAGCATACTGCAGCAGGCATCTCAGTGGAGGGGAGCAGTGGGGTGTAGGCAGGGGCTGCACCAGTTCCTGGGTAACCCCAGCCATGGGCTGTCCCCAGCTGGCTGGATGGCTCGGGGGGGAATTGGGCAGCTGCCAGTGCAGACTGTTGGAGCCGTGCCCTGCAGGGCTGGCTGCCAGAATCACTCAGCACTTCCAGGGGAATTTGTCACCAAGGCACTGTCCCTCTTCCCTGTTTGTGGCTGGACACCTGCAGTCATCCGAGAAGCCACACCTCTGTTTGCAAGGAAAGCGAGACACGGAGCAGGACACAGCTCCTGGAGAAGCCCAGCATCCCCTGTTTCCAGCTCACAGCTCTGTCCTGAGGAGCCTGGGGTGACCCTGGCTGCACAGGGCAGGAAGGAGCCCCATGATGCTGGGCTCTCACACAGACACACCCCTGCCAGACAAACTTCCCTGAGCCCCCCAGAGCCTGGCCACCTCTGACACTTCTTGGACGTGTTCCTACCTTTCACCTGCAGCTGCACTGCACTGAGGGTCTGGCCAGCAGTGTTGGAAGCAGTGCACATGTATAGCCCCTGGTCCTGAGGTTTGCAGTACAGCACCTTGAGGATGAAGTAGCCCTCCCGGTCCTCGTAGATGAGATGCCTGCGGCCAGGGGCGAGGGGTTCACCATCTTTCTGCCAGATAATCTCTGGCTTGGGCTTGCCAGTAACATAACAGCGAAACTTGGCATGCTTCCCTGCGCTCACAGCAAATGCCTTGGCCCCTGGCACCCTGGCCGGCACGACGCCATTGGGCACCCAGGTCTCCGGTGCCATGCGCCGTCCCGCTGCGTGCCGCCGCCACCGCTGCCGCTCCGCCAGTACCTCGGGGCCGTGGGCAGGGGAGCCATTGGGGAGCCCATCCAACAGTGCCTGGGGTTCAACCAGGAGCACGGCGGCAGCCAGGGCCTCCTGGGAGCCGCTGCGTGCCCGGCAGACATACACACCCCCATCCTGGGGCCGGGCACCGAACAGCTTCAGGAAGTGCCAGTCCTCTGGTTTCTGCCCCACTGCAAAGTGGCTGCTCTCAAAGAGTTCGGAGAGCTTGTGCCCATCCTTCTCCCACTCCAGCACAGGGCAGGGCTGCCCAGACACCCTGCAGGTGAACATCACGTCCTCCCCCCGGCACACCCGCATGGACGAGGGGGCAATGAGGAAGGCAGGTGCGACACTGCCTGAGCATCCCTCCCCCTCTCGCGGCTCCGCTGGCTCTACCCTGAGCACGGTGGCAGTGTAAGTCTCGCCAACACTATTCTTGGCCCTACAGACGTAGAGTCCGCTGTCCTCGGGGGTGGCACAGGACACCAGCAGGCTGTACAGGTCCCCTTTGGACTCCATATGGAAACGGCCCGAGGGCTCGATGGTATTCTTGTCCTTTTCCCAGAGGATGCTTGGCTGGGGATCACCCATGATCTGGCAGCTCAGGACTGCATTGGTGCCACTTTGGACCGTGAAGGCACGTGGATAGGCCAGGAACCTGGGGGCTCCCCCGAACCCCTCCATCACCAACTCCCCAGGCTCACGGCAGACAGCTGGCTGGAGCAGCAGCAGGGATCATCAGCCTGGGGGGATGTACAGACAGACTACAGTGGAGGCTCAGGCTCCATCGAAGAGATGGACCAGTGTGGAGCCCCCAGCTAGGAGGGACCCACAAAATCCCCATCATGGACCTCCTGAGCATCATCGTCATCCAGAGCAGCGCAGTCCCACTGGATTTGTCCCAGTGTCACCCAAACTATCCATTTCCCAGCCCAAGGCAATAGGAGACGTGACAAATTGTGGCTCTTTGCACCCCGGGGGCCTGAGACACTTGCACCTTTTCCCAGGGTTGCAGAGGGGACTCCAGTTCCAGCGGTGGGGGACCCCGGCCTAGACAGGGAGCATAGGCAGCTGCTTGCTGGGTGCTGGGGCTGGGGGACAGCGAAGGCAAAAGGGCCCCCGCCCGCCCCTTCCCCACCCGCCGGGCATTCACATTCCTGCAGTATCGGGTGGTGGCAGAGCCGCATTCCTGCAGCATCTGGGCCGGCTCAGCGGGCAGGTGCTGACACGGGGCTGTCACGGGCGCGAGGCCCCGGCTGGACCCGGGCTGGGACTTCCTCCCGGACTTGGGTGGGCAGGGGACCCCCTGTGCCGGGCGGCCACCCCACAGGGCAAAGTGCCCTGGGGCGAAGTGGGGCTCTGGGGAAGGGGTCCCCGTTCTAGAGAGTAGTCCCACAGGCGGGATCCAGCCCTTGTGCACTCAAAACCATAGCTGGAAATCATCAACCCCAGGGGAAAACTGAAAGCCAGGGAGGTGGGTCCTGCTATGGAAGGGCACTGTCTCCATCCCCAGCTTTGTGGGTAACCGTGCCCACCGCCAGGGCAGGAGCAGGGCAGGGTGCTGTGTGCCTGTCCCCACTGAGTGCACCCACCCTCTGCCCACACCATGGCTGGTGTGGGCAGAGGGTCTGACTTGCAAGGCAGGGGGAGGGGAAACAAAAATACTTCTTGAATGAGCCAGAGGGTAGGAGAGAGCTGGTCCCCAAGGAGCGACAGGGATTGTGGCCAGCTTCTCCTCCCACAGCCCTACCCCTGGGACAGTGAATCTATTCAGATTCATCTCTCCATCCACATGCCCCTGACCCCTGGGCCACCCCACAGCAGCTCCTTTGGACACAAACGGACAGCTCTGATGGCTCGGCTGCACCATTGCACCCTTCAACCACTCCCTTCCCCAACCACCCTCCCTGCCCCAGGCAGTCCCCCAGCCCAGACCCCTGCCCCACGCATGTACCTCGTTCTGCCACCTCTCCCCTGTGTCTCTCAGTGTCGGCACCCAGCTCCTGCTTCTTCCCCCAGCTCCCCTTCTGGGTGTCAGTGCGCAGGGACCAAATGTTACAAATGCCTGCAGCTGCTGTCCCCAAAAATACCCTCTGATGACACGCGGGGTTGATAAGAGTGAGCCTGCTCCGTTCAGCGCCTCACCGAGGCTGGGCTGGCCTACCTATGTATAGCAGCCCAGCAGGAGCCACCCCAGAGAGCTGCAGGGGTGCTGCAGGCCCGGCTGTGCCTCTGCGCCGGCTCAGCCAGCAGCGAGAGACAACGTGCCCTGTGGAGAGCGTGGCATGGGGTGCAGGGTGCATGGTGTGCTGTACACTGAGCTGGACACCAGACTGCAGTGAGATAGGACGTGTCACACGGGACATGCTGCATGGGGGGATGTGTTGCATTGGATGCTGCATGAAATGCCAGGCTATATTGGATGGGATGGGCAGGACACTGAGCTGCCAGAGGCACAGAGGGGATGCACAGGCTGCCCACCATCCACAGCACATGCAGCGTTAGTGGATAGGCACTGTCCCCTCAGGCAGTGGTGAGAGGAAGGGGACTGGGTCTCCTTACAGCCCATGTCTCTCCTGCAACTCCCACCCTGTGAGCCAAGCCATGGCTAGACAGCCCAAACAGCACCCTAGGATCCTTCTCCTGGACCTGCTGCAGGGTCTCCAGCTGGCCCACCCCTCTCATTTGTTCTTCTCCCCCTGAGGGTCTCATCTGTTTTTCTCCCCTCTCCAGCCTTCTGCAGCCTCAGGTAGAGCAAGGACCTTTTGCCATCCCTCTTGCTTCATGTCCCCAGGATCTTGCTAATCATGTCATGGAGATGTCATGGACTGTCATGGAGATGCCACAACCACCCTGTCCCTCAGCTTGCCCTTTCCAAGGCCCCATCCTCACATTTTTGGCTGCCCTGGTGACTGCCACCTGCAAAGCGCCTCCCCCATGCCAGAGCCTCACAGGCCTCTGATCCCCACCAGGTCCTTGCCCAGATTTCCCTGCCGTGCACAACTGCTGTCACTTCCCACTAGCTCCCCAGAAGCCCTAGACCTTCCACTCCTCCGCCATGGGAGGCACCTCGCATCAGCAGCTGCAAAGCTCACCCAGCACCCCCTCCATCCCTGCCAGCTTCGGCTGCCGGCACCACCCTGCCCGCAGCCCGGCCTCCCCAGCCCCACGCACGCACCGCTCCCGGCAGCAGCCCCCACACACACCCCCTGGCCGGGGGCCGGCCCCCCAGACCACACTGTCCTTGCAGTCCTCGCATTCCAGACGTCTCAGCGCTTTCACAGCTCAGAGATAATATTCACGGCGAGCAGACGTTTGCGTCAGTGTCAGCTAGATCTCAATGCCACCCTGTCCCGGGGGGAGCGCTGCGGGCAGACGGGCTGGGCAGGCAGGCAGAAGCCCGCGGCAGAGCCCCCCAGGCCAGCACCCCACCGTGTGCCCCACGGCCATGCTGCTGCTGCTGCACCTGCTGCCTGCCATGCTGCCCACCGCCGCCCTGGCCAGCTGCACCGGGGCGGGTGCCGACCGGCAGCTCATCCTGGCCAAGGTGCGGGCTCGGGTGCTGGAACATCTGAGTCCCCCCCTTCTCCAGGAGGAGCCACAGATGGAAGCAAGGAGGGTACACCGGAGAGACGTTCTTGAAAACACTGAAGTGGAGCCGGAGGAGCTGGAGGACACCTCCCAGGTGATCTTATTCCCTGCCACAGGTGAGAACATCCTGATGAAAGGGTGAAGCAGGGTGGGGGTTGGAGTAATGCAGACGCTGAAGGATGGCGAGGCTGATGTGGTGCTCTGTGGGAGAAGGGGAAGAAGGTATGCCAGGCTGGGACATGGGCATGAGTGAGATTTGGTGGAGAGCCAGATGGAAAGGTATGGCAGGCATGGACAAGCAGAACAGTTCAGGACAGACAGCAGAGGGACAGGCAGCACAAGAGGGTGCTGAGAGGCTAGGAAACAGCTGGCCAGGCAGGATGTGGAGACATGGAGAGGGATGAGGAGCAGGGTGGAATAGGGTGGGATGCTAGGGAATGGGGCAGGATACTGGAAGGTGGGTTGGGATGCTAAGGGACAGGGCAGGATGCTGAAGCATGCGGCAGGATGACCAGCAATAACAGCAGGAGATGGGGCAGAATGCTGGGGGATGGGATAGGATGCACATGCTGGGGAAAAGGGGGCAGGATGACCAACTATGGGACAGGACTGGGAGATGGGCCAGGATGCAGGGAGATGGTCAGGGTGCAGAGGTGGGGGAAAAGGACAAGATTACCAGCTATGAGGTGAATGCTGGGGGACAGGGCATGATGTGGTCTCTGGGGGAAAGGGGCAAGACAACCAGCTATGGGGGAGGATACTGGGGGACAGGGGTGACAGTAATGGACCAGCCTAGAGCATAGCAGAGATCAGTTGTGGGGCACAGCACAGAAGCTGCTGCACAGCACCGGCTCCTCTGCACCCAGCCACAGCCTATGCCAGCAGCCAGGAGCCCTGCCAGCATTCCAGGGACCTCTGCAACATCCCACTTGTGATTTGGCATTGGGGATTCTCCCCAGGTCTGGGCGTAGACCCTGATCATCTTTTCCCCCCCACAGATGTTCCCTGTGAGCCCACACAGCCAGACAAGCTGCTGGAGGAAGAAGGGATTTTCACCTACCTCTTCCAGCCCTCGGCACACACCCTGAGCCGTGTGGTGACTTCTGCCCAGCTCTGGTTTTACACGGGCCCCTCGGCTGCCCCCAACCACTCCTTCCCTGAGGTGCTGACCCTGTCCCCTCAGGGCCGGGTGCCGGTGACAGCCATGGCGGAGCGGACACCCGAGCACTGGACAGTGTTTCACTTGGCCCCAGTGCTGCTGCCCCAGCTCTGGCAGCCGCTCTTTGTGCTCCTGGTGCGCTGCCCTGGCTGCCCCTGCCTGCCTGAGGGGGACAAGATGCCCTTCCTGGTGGCCACCACCCGGGCCAAGGGCAGCGAGAGGGCTCGTCGCTCTGCCATGCCCTGGTCCCCGGCCGCCCTGAGCCTGCTGCAGCGTCCATCTGAGGAGCTGGCTGCCCACACCAACTGTCGCCGGGCTTCCCTCAACATCTCCTTCGAGGAGCTGGGCTGGGACAAGTGGATCGTGCATCCCAGCAGCTTTGTTTTCCACTACTGCCACGGGAGCTGCGCTGCAGGCCACGGGCTGAGCCACCGGCTGGGCGTGCAGCTCTGCTGCGCTGCCCTGCCCGGCACCATGCGCTCCCTGCGCGTCCGCACTACCTCCGACGGCGGGTACTCCTTCAAGTACGAGACAGTGCCCAACATCCTGGCCCAGGACTGCACCTGTGTCTAGGGCGTCCTGCAGCCCAGCCCGGACCGTGATCCCACGCAGGAGGAGTTGCTTTCCCAGTGGAACCCTGGCTGCTGGGATGGGGGAGTTTGGCTGTACCACCCTCCCTCGCACAAGCCAGACTTTTGGGCTGGCCCTGGAACCATCACAGAGCAAATCAGGACATGGCGGGGCATGGATAGGCACAACCTACGGCAAAGGCATCACTGTCCTGTCAAAGCCAGGCTGCTGCCTGCAACCAGATTAGCCCTCATCTCTCTTCACCTGCTTCCCTGCTGCAGTTCTGCACCCCCACAAAGATTGGTGTCTTCCTCCTGCTGCAGAGTTCAACAGCTTCCCCTGTGCTCCAGGCAGGGCCAGGCTGTTGCAGCAGGATCAGGATGTGCCTGGGTGAGCCCATGCCAGGACCTCACACTGGTGGCAGGGCTGGCAGCACACGTGGCACCACAAGTGAGCCCTCTCCCAGCAGCATGGCTTGTTGGAAAGCTAAATGGGATGAGTGAAATAAACTTGTTCCCTTTTCTAAAGCAGCCTGGAAATGTCTGCTTCTATCTAGATGGAGAAATGAGGGGATGGGCAAATACTGTTAGAGGCATCCAGCTCCGATTTCGGGTACCAGAGAAGGGACTGGAGTATGCTGGCCAAAATGGGCAGGGTGTGGCTGGGTTTGATCCTGCCCCAGGCAGGGGTGTGCAGAGCAGAGCAACATCCCTTCTGCTCTGGGCAACAGTTGTACAGTAACGGGGACAGCAGGGGGCTGGAGAGACATGGGGATGGTGGGAGGATGGGGAGGCAGAGGGAAGCCCCTCACCTGGCCCCTTGACAGTGACAGGGCCAAAAAGGAATGTGGCCAGTGCAATCCCTCTCCGGCAGGATGATGACGATGACGGCAGGATGATGACGATGACGGCTGCCCCGACCACAGCCGCCTCCTCATGGCAGGAACAACTGAGTCACCCCGGGCAGCAGGGAGGTCCCAAGGCACCCACGGCAGCACACACAGGATTCCCTTCCCACCCCTTCCTCCCGAATGAGCGGATGCAACGGTTCAGTACAAAACGTCTTCAGCCTTTACTAATATAGATATTAAAAAAAAAAAGAAAAACAGAGTGACAATCATTTCCGAGTAAAAAACAACGCTACAAAAGTCCCCATGTGACCCAGGCTGAGATGATGAGGAATGCTCCACTGGCTCCTGGCCGAGCCCAGCTCGGGGCACCACGTCCCCACACTGTGAGGCCAGGGTCTGGCTCTGTGCAGGGGGGTCCCAGCCCTGCAGCCAGAGTGGGAGGAGACAAGTTTTGGTCCAAGGGCAGCCTGCCAGGACAGGGCGGAGGCAGTGGGAACGACAGCCCCTGACCTCTGCACAGACATTTCCAAGCAGGCCAGCCACGCAACTCATAGCCCCATGCCAGGATGCTGTGCAGCACAGCCCCTTAGGCCACAAAGTCATTTTGTGGCAGCGCAGTGCCACCAGGACCCCTCCCACCCCCTCCAAGAGTAATGCCAGCCCAGGACTCTGTCCCACAGCTTGGCCTGGCCAGCCAGACCCCCAGCCTGCTCCCCTAAGTCACCCACACCTCAGGGGGCAGTACCAAAATCACCAGCACATGCAGAGCACCAGCTGGTGCTGCCATGGGTAGTAGAGGGCATGGGGGGCACAGGGAGGTGCAAGGACAACATGCTGGGGAAAATGGGTGTGGGAGGAAAAAAAGTGGGTGAAACAGGAGATGGGGGGCACAGGCCCAGAGTGGAGATTGGGATGGAGTATAAAAATGCCAGGGTGCACATGTTGATGAGTTTATAAAAACGTACAAAAATAAGATATTCCCTTTCTGAAAATTAAGTAGGAATGAACCCCATGGCCCCTGAACCCTCTGCTGCCCACTAGGACAGAGCTGCCCAGACTGCCCCGCTGGGCAGGCGTGTGGCATTCCTTGCCCTGTGCTCCTGGCAGGACGCCTATCCCACGGTGGCAGTGGCAGCCACTCCGGCAGACACCGCTGTCATTCCTGGCGACACTCACAGCCCTGTGGGGAGCAAAAAAGCAGGTCAGCACCCACCTCAGGGGGAATGGCATCCTCTCTCCAGGGGAGCCTCGGGGCAGCCCCCATGCCTCCACCCCGGTGGGCAGGATCCATCCCCCCCTCCCAGCTCACCCGTGGTCCTGTCGCAGGCGGCGGTCCCCTTCTCATGGGCGAGGTTGAGGCGGTTCTGCTCGGCGGCGATGCCGTTGGCCTCGGGGCTGCTGCTGCGGGCAGGACTGGGGGGCCGTGGCGGGGGCTGGAGGTGGAAGGCCACCTCCAGGTGCTCCTGGGCCAGACGCAGGTGCTCACGCAGCCGGTCCAGCTCGTGCACCGGGGGAGCTCCAGCCAGGGCGAAGCGCCCCTGGGCCAGGCTCTCTCGGTAGTCCAGCTTGCTGTTGGGCAGTGGGGCTTGCGGCAGCTCCTTCTTCAGGGAGTGGTAGGTGGGCGGGGCGCTGGGGGCTTTCTTGGGGTATTGTGGTGCAGGACTGTCGCCAGTTGGGAGTGGGGGGCCATCAGCCTGGCTCAGGGCATCACGGATGCGCCCCACACCAAGATGCAAGAGCTCGCAGAGGTTGAGGAAGAGGCAGAGCCCGCTGACGGCATACATGATGAGGAGGAAGATGGTCTTCTCGGTGGGACGGGAGACAAAGCAGTCGACAGTGTGTGGGCAGGGGCTGCGGCTGCAGACGTAGGAGGGGCTCACCTCAAAGCGGTACAGCAGGTACTGCCCGAAGAGGAAAACCATCTCCAGCACTGAGCGGCACAGCAAGTGTAGCACATAGGCACGCATCAGCCCGTCCTGCTTGATACGGCGCCGGCCATCATGCTTCTCTCCGCCCTCTGGGCTCTTCTCCTTCTCCACCTCGATCTCCTCAAAGATCATGGGGTCTTCTTCATTGTCATCTTCTGCCTCCTCGTAGTCTCGCCCGGCTCCCCGGCGCACCACCGGCATGCGTGCCCGCCGGGCTGACGGTGGCCTGCACCGTGAGGACTCGGGCATGCGCGCGATGCGGTGCATGGCAAAGCCCAGGTAGAGCACCGACGGCGTCGCCACCATGATGATCTGGAAGACCCAGAAGCGGACGTGGGACAGGGGCGCAAAGGCGTCGTAGCAGACGTTCTCACAGCCCGGCTGCTGCGTGTTGCAGACAAACTTGCTCTGCTCGTCGTAGTAGATGGACTCTCCCCCCACGGCCGTCAGCACGATGCGGAAGACAATGAGGACGGTCAGCCAGATCTTGCCCACGAAGGTCGAGTGGTTGTTGATCTCCTCCAGGAGCCGCGTCAGGAAACTCCAGCTCATCCTGACCAGGCAGTTGGCTCAAATCCTGCAAGGAAGGGCCAGGCAAAGAGGCACTGAGCAAATCTGCATGCACCTCACCAGGACCCTGAAGCCCGCCAGCTGCTAGCCCAGCTCTGTCCTGCTTCCTCTTCCAGCACCAGTGTCCATTCCCTTACCCACAGATCCACAAACACAGCCCTGATCAGGAAGCTGCCTCCCCAAAACTTTATTCCCTGCTCAGCACCGCCTCACTGTGCTCCTGTCTGCATCCTGCTCCCACCCTGCTGCCAGCCAGGTGGGTGGAGGCAATGGGGAAATGCTGGGACATCCTGGTTGCCTGCAGGGACACATCTAGGGGAAAAGTGAGCACAGTCACAACCAGAGCAAACATGCCAGTGTAGGGCAGCACCAGCTGGGAACTGTGAGGGGACAGGCAGGAGCAGAACCACTTCCTTCTCCCCTAGTGACACACAACCCACCTGGCATTGGACAGGTCCCTAACCAGTGTCACACCCTGTGAAAGCACTCATACCCTCCCACGAGGGTCCACAGGCCACTGGAGGAAGACTACACATGGCAGCTCCACTGGCCCACTTCAGCTGCCCACCCTGAGCCCTGGCTGAGGGGAGCAGGTCTCCAGAGTGCATCCCCCACCACATGCTAAATCAGCCAGGTCCCCTTCACTCCTCTGAGGGCCAGCAGAGATGCAGCATCACTCTCCCACCAAACCTCAGTGCTGTGCCCTCTCTCCTGCAGGATCCCAGCCCCTCAAAGCCTGCAGTGGCCAGTGTTCACAGCACCCTGCAGCTCCAAGGCAAGGGCTGGTGGGGGGATGGAATGGGGACAGGATAGTGATAGCAAGGGGCAGTGTGGGGCAGCCAAGGAATTGCACAAAACCCTGGCAAAATAGCTGACACTAGAGATTGGGGAGGAAATTACCAGGACCATGTCACTTCTCCCGGCCAAAGAAGACACAAGAAACCCACACCACCCACTGCCACCCCTGGTTTCAACAGCTTGTGCACAAGATGATGCAAGCCAGGGCAGCAGGTGGCAGGGATGGCCCAGGGCGAGCAGAGGGTATGTGTCCACACAGAGCCCCCAGCAGCCTCTGCCAGCCTCATCCATCACCTCTGGTCAGGGCATGTCCCTGCAGATGATGATTGATGCTGCACTGATTCCACTATTGTCCACAATAAGAGGATCTTTCACATTAAGCTCAGCCAGCCTCCCGACCAACCTCACCTAAGCAGAATAGCCCCTCCAGCACAAGCTCTTGCTGCAGGAGGTGTCACAGGCTGGCTGGCACCAGGGACCCAAATTCAGCCCATCAGGGCCACCATCCTCCTGTGGTCATATGCCCTGCAAGATTTCACTGCTGCCCTGTCTCCCAGGTGTGAGCCCCTTTCCCCCACCACCTCCCTGGAAGGTGGATGCTTTGTGTCTGCCTTTACCCTAGTCTTAGCAGCACACAACCCTGACACCAGGGTGAAGAACTAGGTGAGAGGATGAGGCAGAGGACAGCTCCAGGAACTAAAACCCAGGCTATGTCAAACCACGACAGGTACCAAGCCCAAGGAAAGCAAAAACAGGGTGGCATTGCTGTGCTGGCTATGGAAGTGTGGCATGGGAATGGCTGGCAATGCGGGATGGCAGCAGTAGTGGGCATAGGCAGGGCAGAGCTACCTGCAGCCTGTCCCCTATGCCGGGCAGGTGTCCAGAGGCCAGTTTTCAAAGCAGCACAGCCATCCAGAGCCTCCCGGCCACGCTGGGAGTCAGCAGTAGCACCATCTATACCCTACACCTACCCCTCCGTCCTACCGACCCCCGTCCCCCCGCGTGGGGCTCCCAGTCCCCTCTGCCCTGCCTGCGAGCCCCAGCTTCCCTGCCCAGGGGCGCAGCAGCAGGCATCCCACCCTGGGGCTCACCGGCCCTGCCCATCTGGGGACGCTGTGCCACTGCCCTCTGCGCCCTCAACCCCAGCCTTCCCGGGGTCCCCGGTCCCACCGACTCCAGCGCCCCGAGGGCCTCCAGCCCAGCTGCCCCGGCCCGTCCGAGACCCCCAGCCCGCGATCCCGCCCGCCCGCGGCCCCAGCCCGCGCCGGGGCTCCCGCCGCCCGCGGTGCCGTCCCTGCCCCACCGCCCGCTTCCTCCCGGAGCTCCCCGGCCCCACTCACGGCGCACCGGGACCAGCGGCTCCCGCCGGCAGGGCGGACAAAGCGGTGGGGCGGCGCGCCGCCGCCTCCCGCCGAACAAAGGGGCCCGGGGCCGCCCCGCCCCGCCCCGCTCCCGCCCGCCCGCCGGTGCGCACCGACCGACCGCCCCGCTCCGCATCTCCGCCCCGCGTGTCCGCTCCGCGGCCCCGCTCCGCGCCGGGCAGCGCCCGCGCCACGCGGCGCCGCGGCCCCGGCCCGCCCCGCTCCGGCTCGCCCCGCGCCCGTCGGGCGGTGCCGCCCCCGGGCCTCCCCGCCCGCGGCTCGGAGGCCGCGCGGGGCCGCGGGCAGCGGCCGGCGCCGGCCGAAGCTCTCCCAGAGGCGGCTCCCGCCCCGGCAGCTCCGTCCAGCTCCCGCTGCCCGGCTGCTCTCTCCGCCCCGCGCAGCCCGTGGCTCCCGGGAGGCCGCTCCGCCGGGCGAGGCGGACGCTCCCTGCCCGCGTTAGGGGATCGCTCCGAACCGCGGGTGCGGCTCAGCCCGCGGGGTTTTCAGGGCTGAGTCCGGCCGCGGCGTTAGAGGAGGGAGCCCCCTGCTCCGGCCTGAGAGTCTTCTGCACAATAACCTCCTGTTCCTTGCAGCGTTCTTCCCCGCCCAGTGGAGAACGGGGATGGAAGAAAGGAGAGATCCTGTGGCACAGGGGAGAGGTGGCCCCACACGTGGTGGGAACGCAGAACAAGACGTGCCTGTGTGGTGGTAATGTGCCTCAAGCATTTTGAAGCCCGTGCTGCTTCTCGTGTCCCAGGCCAAGTTCCTGCAGCAGGGCCGGGCTGAGCATGCAGCACCTGGAGATGTGCCCTTAGAGTAACCTACTGCACTGCCAAGGCCAGCACCATGGCAGCAGCGGCTTTGAGTCACCACCCTGGAGCTATGCCCTGTCTTTTCACCAAAGGACCCTGACCACTCAATTTCTGTACTGCTGAAATTGGCTAGAATTTTTTGGGGCTGAGTCTCCACATTGGGCCAACCACACCCTTGACGTCCTGGGCCCCGTTGTGTGGGGACGAGGAGGGATACTGAGCAGTCTTGCATAACCCAAATAGTTATGCTGAAGCTGGTGTCTGCGTAAGCTCATGAAGCACTGCTTCTCCTTTCTGAAACACATGCTCCTGCTGAAGGGTTTCTATGAACTGGGTGCAGCACTGGAGCTGGCTAGGGGAGGGCTAAGGCCAGGAGGCTGCGGCAAGGAGAGCTATGGGGCCTGTGGCCATCACATCCAGTGTGGGGTTTTGGTTATTCTGCAGCTGCCCTGCTGCTTCCCTAAATCGGCAATATCACTATGGCATTGCATCAGCACCCACAGAATCTGGACACAGGCTTAGTGCTCTTACATGTGAGGGCAACTGGAACCCTCCAGAGCAGTGTTCTGTACCCTGACAGAGATGCAGGTGTGTGCACAACAGGCTGGGGAAAAGGGCCCCGCTTTGGGCTCTTGCCCACTCCTTCCTTCTCCCCAGCTCATGGATGGGTCAGTCCCAAGTGATGCATTAAGGTCTATGGAGGGAGAGCTGCAGCAAGGAAGGGAATTGGACCAGGACATGAAGAAATAGTTTCCATTGAATCCCATTCTCATGCATGCAACTGTGGCATTAACATTTCTGTAAGGGAAAAGTGTGTTCCAGATTCAGCACAGGCACTCTGGTCACATCTCCATCCCAGGCCAGGAGAAACAGGAAGAGGTGGATGCCAAGGAGACAGCAAGCTGAGCAAAGAAACTCAAGCTTTTGGAAGAATGTAGAGAAGCTTTCAACTCCAGTAATGAAACCCAGAGCTGAAGGGAAGTGGCACCTGCAGTGCAGCGTGGAGAGGTGGGAAAAGGGCAGTGGGCTGCCAGCATGAGGACAGCATTCCAGCACGCTGGGGAGGTCAAGCAGCACATGTTCAACCTCCTGCTCTTGCCTGGCAGTTAAAGGGACTTGTGGCTTTCCCCACAGTAACCACTTGTTTTCAAGTGTTTCCAGCCTGGAAAGCTTGCCTCCAGCCTGGCTTCAACCCCAGGCAGCCGAGCAATTTGCCATGGGTAAGGGACCTATGTGACCCATTGACTCTGGTGCTCAGCGCATTAAGAACAAGGCGCTATTTCACCAGCCTCGTGTTAAACTGGGGAGTGTGACCACTGAGGCACTGCAAAATGAAGCCCTTGTGCCCAGAATGAAGGTGCTTGTTGCACTGGGGTCAGGCACCAGTGCTGCAGCATTTCTGCACAGCACAGCTCAGCCCATGTCTGGGCTGCAGGGCAGGGATGGCCTCGGACGGCCAGGCCTGGGGCTGGTGTCACACAGCCCATGGACAGGCATTACTGTGCTTGTCAGCATCTGACCGCTGGCGTCAGAGCCCTCCAGCTTCCCTTGTGATGTTGCCCTGGGTGTTCCTGCACTCTTCCCTTTTCTTAAGCTTGCAAAATCCAAATGCCTGCAGAGGTATCATTCTTTCAGCTTGGGGCAGAGGGAAAACCCACATCGTCCGGGAAAGGAAGACAGTGGACAAAGGGTGTTGCCCACCCTCATCTCTTTCCACATCAGCTGAGGCTGACAGAGCATAGTGGGCAGGAAGGATGTACAGACCAGCAGTTTTGTGGGGTCTGGCTCAAAGACCAGCTTTTCAGAGGAAACAGAGGCACTGTCACCAACCGCAAAAACCAGGATCAGTCTCAAACCACCGAGTCTGTGGGGCAGAGCCACGGAAGGGCAGCTGCATAGCCCAGCAAGAGCAAGGGGAGCTGGCAAAAGAGGAGATAGTGGCTGAGGGGGAGTGTAAGCAGAGGGATAAGAAGAACATCCACTTCTTGGAAAAGTGCTGCAGCTCAGGAGGGACATTGGAAAGAGCTTGTGCAAGCACTCCTTCCTCCCTGTTCAGGCGCAGTGCTGCAAGAGAGGCATCCTCTGAGACACCAGTGCCAGCCCCTACCTTGGCCACCAGAGAGGGTGCAGGGAGGGTGCAGGACCCAATCTGGCTCTTGATAGCAGCCTCAGTTTCTGCTCTGATCAATACAGCAGGGCTGGGCCCTCTTTTGACTGCTCTGCTTCCAGGGACAGTGGCAGTAAGGCAGATGGTGGGGTTGGGCACCCTGGGTGTGTTTGCTGTGGGGTGACATGGACAATGCCTGGCTGGTGCTTGGCAGCGGGGTGAGGAAGCCAGCTCCACCCTCTCCAAGCAGGGCTGAGCAGGCAGCACTGGAGGTAGGCAGCATGCATCCCTGGCAGTGAACACGCTCTTCCCAGATTAGACAACTTGTCTGGCACTGGGAGCATACAGCTCTATTAGGGACTGTTTGTCCTGACACAGAACAGCTCCATAACTAGCTTAATACCCTTCCTCTGATAACGGGCAGAGGCACACTCCATTGCAGCATCACAAAGGGCAATGACCATGCCCTCAATCAGAGGCTGAGCAAAGGCTGAAATGGCTTTAAAATAGTTCCCTTCTATTCCCCCCACTTGATGATGCAGCAAGGTGGGGGCAATGGGGGGCACAGCCCCTGCTCACCTCTCATGCTATAGTGTTCTTCACAGTTCCTGGGTGCTGACTTCAGCCAGCACCATGCACAGCCTTTGAGCCCAACCTGTGCTGGCTGCTCTTCCCTGCCTGCCAAACTGGAGGGCTTTACACAGGCTGTGGATTCTGCTGTGTGCTGGGTAAGGATCACTGGCACCGTGGAGGGATGAAGCTGGCCACACAGGTCCACGACCCATGAGGAACATGTGCCCTTTGCTGCTACATCTCACGTCCCCTGGAGATGAGGCCAGCAGGGATATTCTGCTAGAAGTAAATGACCAGTCACTCCAGTCACCAGGCTTCGCTAGTTCGACAAAGTACAAGGGGGCTGACAGTTAACCCACAAGCTATGTATGCTCAAGGCAGTACTGCTTTAGAGGGCAGAGAGATGCTGCAAGAAGCACTGAAATAGCCAAACCCATGACTGAAGGCATTATTTTCATTGATAACAGTAGGGATGGTGGCTTCAGGCTCATGGCAATGGCCTGCCTGTTTCCCTGTCTCTAGAGTCCTATGGCCACCCCAGCCTGGGAATCCTTTCAGCTACATACACCTTGAGAAGAGACTGCTACAAGCACAGGCAGGGAAACAGAGGTTCACACCAGCCTTGCTATGTGCTAGCAGCTGAGTGCTGGAGCCCAGTGCACCCAGAAAAGAAGAAGCAGGAGCAAAATCCAGTTTAAGAGCACAGCTGGGAGATGGCATAATCAAAACAGAGAAAGGCAAACGGTATCTGCAGTGGTTCATGATATATTCCACCTTTCTGCAAACTCCAGCTGTCCTATACAGTCCCAGTTCCCACACAGCCATCAGTGGGATGCCTGCAGTGCTGGATGGTGGAGTGTGTCAGGGGAGCCCTTGCACACACCCAGCTGATGCAAGGAGACCAGTTAATGTAATCACTGCAGCAGGTGCAGGAGGCCCTACAGCAAAGCATTTGTGATCACAGAGTAACCAAAAAGGGGTTAATCTGTAATAACCAGGAGAAAAGGCTAAGTGAAAACAAAGCAAGTGTTTCATGAAGAGGCAGGAGACAGGTTGTGGCAGTGCATGTGAGCTTTCCCATCAGTGCAGCAGCCAAAGGAATGCAGAAAAGCAGGGTCCTGTTAACGGGACCAAGATCTTGGCTGGTGCTGAGCTGGGAGCACAGACCACCACAGCCAAGGCAAAGAAGAGAAGTAAATGAGTTGTCACCTCTGAAATAAAAAGCAGGAAGAGCTTGACAAGAGCTGTGGGCAGGCACACAAACAAAATCTTTGGTTCTGGCAGTCCACACTGCCAGGCCCCTCAACACATTGTCAGGCCCCTCAACACATACCCAGATAGTGGAGCAGCAAAGGTGTAGCTTGGCTAGGATCAGAAAAGCAAGTTCCAGGGATGAGTTTTCTCAGGGAATCAGCTTGAGCAGAAGAGACACCAACGAGCTGGTCCAGTAACTCCAAATTTGACTCTTGCTCTTTGTGAAAAACACAGCTATAGAAGGTGAAGGCAGAACTTACACAAGCTCCTTAAATGGCAAGATGAAGACATAAAATCCTACTGGTGTTTACTGGCTC